GGGAAACAAATCACCTATCGTTATTTGTATAAAAAAACAACCATACATTTTGTTTGCTATCTGCAAGAGGTCCAGTCACTTGTTTACAATGGCTGTCCTGTTTCTGTTCTGTTTCATTCATCCTAAAACTTGCCGCATCCCGTGTCTTGCACAACTGGGTGAGATGCAGATGTTCCCGTTGCTGTCTTTTAATGTCTGCTTCAGTCTTATAAAAAATACATTCCCACCATGTTCAGCCAGGTAAAGTCAGTTCACCTAGAAGACATCATGCTGTATGGAGACTGGAGCTGGAAAAAGAGACATGACAATCTATAAGGGACCATTCCCACAGATATTTGGATCGATCTACCTCCCTGGGGAGGCTGCTGGGCACAACTGTGACTGCCGAGACCAGCACATTCTCAGATTGAACACTGTTAAATAAATAGAACTTTGCCAAATCTGTGGGGTTTATTGTGACATTTGCCACAAAATGCCTCATAATTGTAAAAATCTGGGATTATTATATCAATTGGCAAACTACCTGCAAGAAGTCCAGTTCCCTGTTTACCATGGCTGTCCTGTCTCTGGCTCTTCACAACCCATTCATCCTGAAACTTGCTGTGTCTTGCACAACTGTGTGAGGTGAAGGGATGTTCCTGCAGCTGCTTTTTCCTGTCTATTTCATATTAACAATTCATGTCCCCCATGTTCAGCCAGGTAAAGTCAGTTCACCTAGAAGCCACCATGCTGTATGGAGGCTGGAGCTGGAAAAAATAGACAAAAGATTATATGAATGAAGTGACAAATTATCTTAATAAAAAGACAGAACCCTGACAGTCCACAAGAGCCAGCAGAATATTAAAACTACAATATACTGCCAAATGTCCACCTAATACGGCAGACATCACAGTTATGGTGACTGAACAGAGACAAGTTTAAAATGTCTTTTGGAGGCTGCTGGGCACAATTATGACTGGCAGTGGTACAACTGTCACAATCTTAAACTGATCAAAGTTAAAGAAACAGAAGTCTGCCAAATCTTCTGGGATTTTTCAGAAGTTTGCACACAAATTGCCTATAAACAATGGCTGTAATAATCTGGGATAAGTATATCATCAGTTGAATGTGCCTTGTAGAATTACATTTTGTGAGGAGTAACATGAGAGAAATGAAAAAAAATTATTTAAATTTAAAGAAAGCACAAAATATGATAACTGGTTTTTTGATCTACATGGGAAGGATAGAAGACAAATTATCTATTGTAACACAACTAGTAAAACAAAACCAATCAATAATTTTGTGCACTACCTGCAAGGAGGTGTTTTTGGCATGGTGATGGGTGACGGTGGGTAATGACCACTGCTCCACCTTGGGTCAAATACATATCATCTGTTATGACCAGGTGCCATGGGTCTCACTTGTCATGTGCATCTTTCACACTGGTTCCCATTACCACATCATCCACCAGGTGGTGGCCCCGGTCTAGACACGACTAATGGGCAGCCATATATTGGATATAACATTCCTCCCAACCTTAATTTTTTTTCTACAACATTTAAACTTAAAAATCATTATCCTTGAATATTTTGAATCCTGAAGAATTTTCAGTTTTCATATTGTATAAAGTCACATCTTGAGTGTTATATGCTCAAGCTTTTCAGGACAGCGCTCCGCCTTCATCCTGATTAAATATAAATCTCAGATTACTTTTTTCAGGACAGCGATCCACCTTCATCCTGATTAAATATAAATCATCTCAGATTACTTTTTTCAGGACAGCGATCCGCCTTCATCCTGATTAAATATAAATCATCTCAGATTACTTTTTTCAGGACAGCGATCCGCCTTCATCCTGATTAAATATAAATCATCTCAGATTACTTTTTTCAGGACAGCGATCCGCCTTCATCCTGATTAAATATAAATCATCTCAGATTACTTTTTTCAGGACAGCGATCCGCCTTCATCCTGATTAAATATAAATCATCTCAGATTACTTTTTTCAGGACAGCGATCCGCCTTCATCCTGATTAAATATAAATCATCTCAGATTACTTTTTTCAGGACAGCGATCCGCCTTCATCCTGATTAAATATAAATCATCTCAGATTACTTTTTTCAGGACAGCGATCCGCCTTCATCCTGATTAAATATAAATCATCTCAGATTACTTTTTTCAGGACAGCGATCCGCCTTCATCCTGATTAAATATAAATCATCTCAGATTACTTTTTTCAGGACAGCGATCCGCCTTCATCCTGATTAAATATAAATCATCTCAGATTACTTTTTTCAGGACAGCGATCCGCCTTCATCCTGATTAAATATAAATCATCTCAGATTACTTTTTTCAGGACAGCGATCCGCCTTCATCCTGATTAAATATAAATCATCTCAGATTACTTTTTTCAGGACAGCGATCCGCCTTCATCCTGATTAAATATAAATCATCTCAGATTACTTTTTTCAGGACAGCGATCCGCCTTCATCCTGATTAAATATAAATCATCTCAGATTACTTTTTTCAGGACAGCGATCCGCCTTCATCCTGATTAAATATAAATCATCTCAGATTACTTTTTTCAGGACAGC